AAACACGTGCTCGACTATAGTAGATGATACATTGAAGAATTACGTAGGAAATTGCGGTCATGGCGTGTAAAATATTCCGAGATTCAACGTTCTGCGCCTTGCGCAGGCAACTGGGTACATGTTTTCGCATTTATTTTAACGATTTTGTGATTCTAATGTTGATTTATGTTTTTAATACTTGAACTTATGTTAGGAAAATAAATGAGAAAATAATAGCTTGGAATACTGACGTTTCTGTGATTGTTTTTTCATTGCTTGCACAAGGGTTGAATTCTGTTTGGAGAGGAAGAGATAGCTGTTATTGGAACTTCGGGTCCACGATCGTTCGCGCCGTCTTAAAAATCTTCGAATCTATTTGGTTTAATCCCTTGCCAATATTCAATATTCAATTTTTCTCTTTTAATAAATAATAAATGGTGAAATTCTTTCGACGAACTCAATCGTAAAATGAATTACAATGCAAGGGGTTGAAACGAGATTAAGAAGGTATTTTACACTCGACGTCGTCAGTTTGAGACAATTTGCAAATCTTAATTGTTACGTTACTACAAACCGAGTATTTTACAATGTTGTGTATATGATTGGTTTCAAGACAACACACTGTAATTTTTACGCAATGATCTTTATTATTTATTAAATTATTCTATATTTTCCAGTGTATGTTTAAATCGCTGCCACGATTTGTGTCGTTGTGTTTATCTGGAAAGAAAGTATCAAAGATAATCTTAACACTAGAACTATCGAATGAGCTTAAACGACTCATTCCTAATTTCTCTTTAATTGCTGGAAAGACACGGATGCTTCCTTTAAAAGTGACTAAACAAGTCGATTTCATGATGCATGAATTAAAGTCTTAATAAATGCACTGTTATAATTTCTATATAAAAGAGAACTAAAAATATCTATATTAACATTATAACTACTGAGCAGTCAAATTTGTTTTATACAAAAGTTGTTACTTTGCGAGACTTCCCTCGTGTATTTTGCAAATCGTCAAAAATTGTCGACTCCGAATGGAAAACATCCCCTCAACGGTTGTTCAAAAATCACTCGCGATATTCTGAACCTGGAACCCATTCTAATCAAACTTTCTGATTAGATCGTTTCGCATAATTTTCTGAAATCTCTTCTCTGCTTATCGGACGGCTCGTAGCATTTCCTAAAGAAACTTTCTCCCGCGATTATAACGTGTCAGGGATCAAGCGAGCGATTTTCGAGTCAACATTGCGATCCAATGTCCGCTTCAACGAAGTTTCCTGAGGAGACAGAGCATAGCGGGAAAGATAAAGGGTTACCAAAAGCTGGCTGCCAGTATCATACAAAAGAACACCGTGAAATTAACCCCTTAACACTCATCCCCTAAATTTGAGGATAATTTTTTTTGCTTTAGTAAATCTGAATCAGTATAATTTTTATATTTTAAAATAATATATGCAAATAATCGTATGTCTTATTGTAAAAGGATTTTATTTAAGGAATATATTTGAATAAAACAAATAAATGAATCTATTATATATCTGACATCAACAATTATTGCAAAATTCAATGAAATTATAAACTTAACGTTAATATTCTTAAAACCTCATAAGAATCTGATTCATCTCAGAGTTTACAAAAGAAAAATCTTTGTCGCGATAAATGAGACGATAACAATGTAACATCGATAATCAAATTGAAATGAAATTAGTACTTTAGACTTGATGAATATTATTATATAGAACTTTGTACGTTAAGGGGTTAAATCGAATGGAAAGTTTCGAAGTTGGCACCAGGTCCTGGCAAAGCTTCAGAAGCTTTCTAAAACGTGACTCTGAAAGAACCTTCTTCGCAGAAGATCGTCTAGGAAGTTTAATACAATTGTACAGACTTATATATATTAATAGAACAATGTAATTCATATAAAACGAACGAATAAAATCAGGCACTATCGGGTTCAATGACGAATGATTTAACACGTCGACTGCCACGGTGGTCACCAATAATCGAAGCTCCCAAACTCCTCGAAACCGTGATAATAAGGAAACTGATATCGAATAAAAATATTCAGTAACACAAATAACTATATAATAATCGTAACTTGAGTACTGCAATACGAAATCAACAATTATTTCTAAATACCGTTTACCTTTGTCACGAAAGAACGAACAATATTCTACAAAACGTTGGAAATTCCCGTGGCAATCGACGCGTTAACCCTTT